GGTTCAAAGTAGTGACAAAAATTATAAATGAGTTACAGTGCATCCCTCAAATGTCTATAAGATAGTGTCTAAAGAATTCTAGGCACATGGCATCATGCACATTCTTCGCTCCCCATGCCAGACTTCAACTTCACTGTATTCAGAGCTGGTTGAAGTTGATACTCGCTCCAGAGAAGTATCCTATAGACATGCCTTTGAGGGTTCATCAACACTTACTTTCTTCTCTATACTAGTGGAAAAATCTGATTCATATGTGCAAAGGTGTTCCATTGTTGCCTTCTCTTCCCACATTAACACTGATGATGCATGCTTCCAGTCTGGGTTGGGGAGTACACTTAAATCATCAGTTGTAGGCTCTCTGGTCAAGAGACAGATCTTGTCCTCTCAGAAAGCATGTGTAGCTTTCTACCTCTAATCCAAGGCAAACTGATACTGGTGATGACAGAAAACACCACTGTAGTATTCTGTATAAATTGGCAGAGAGGATCCAGGTAATCCTCTGTCAGGAAGCATCAAACACTGGATATTGCTCAGGACTGAACTCCCTTGCAGATTGGCTGAACCAGCCATTTTCTTCTGACCACAAATGGTCAGAAGAAAGAACTCAGTTACTCAACAGCTCTTATTCAACAGATCTTCCAGAAGCGGAGTCACCCAACCATAGACTAGTTTTGCCTTAGAGATGAACACACAATGCAACACCATTTGCTCGAGAGGGTGCCTAATTCAAGGATCTCTACTGGATGCTTTTCTAATGGTTTTGGGGTCTGATGAACCCCAACCCATTGATTCCTTTAATACCGTATACATTGAGAAAGCTTGGGCAGAATGCTGTAACGTTGATATTAATAGCACCAGTTTGGCCCAGACAGTTCTGGTTTCCAAACCTCCTGAGAGTTATTGTAGGGACTCCAAACGTGTTGTGTCTGGTCTCAGGTTTGATCTCCCAAAATGACAGGAAGACCTTTCATCCAGACCCAGTGTCTCTGCACTGTACATCTTGAATGCTTGCTGCCTAGCTGAAGTGGAGAAGTCTTGTTCCAGGGATGTCCTGATCATTTTGAATAATAGTTCAAGGACTATATAGGAAGGACTCCACAGGGACACAATGTCAAAAGGAAAAGATCTACCATTTGGACAGAATGACATCACACCTCACTCTCCCTAACAGACATTCTTTTAATTTTAGGTGACCTGCTCTTGTTAAAATCATCTGGACTTTCAGTTAGTTCTATAAAAGTTCAACCTGTGGTTATATCTGCTTATAATCCTCAGATTCAAAACCACACAGGTAGAGCCACACAATGTGAACACAACAGGATTCAGGTTGGTTCGGAAAACAACCCAACTCCCTCAGGCTCAGGTCAGGTGGGTGAGGATCTGGGGTCAGGGTTAAAAATTAGGCCTGAGTAGACCTCTATGCATAGCCTTTACACATCCAACCGTGTCTAGATCTCTGAAGGGATTAGTACTCCCTCTGATTAGAGAATCCTCTCCTTTGTAGGATCTTAATGTGTGATATTAGTTGGTGTTATGGGTCCTCCATTTGAACAGTTATCTGTGTTCATTACATCATCTTTCCATGAAAACATTGTTTTTGGTGGCTGTTAATTCTGCTTGTTGTGTGAGAGAAATTCAAGTTTTAATGGCAGGCTCACCATACATTATCTTTCATAGGGATAAGGTCTCTCTCTAGGTAGGAAGTTTGGATGGGATCTAAAGTAATATCTAATTTTCATGTTAATTAGACTATTCATGCACTTGTTTTCTTTCTGAAACCTCATGCCAGTGATTCTGAAAGAAAATTACTCTTTAGATTTTTCTAAGAGCTTTATTTGCATTTAGATAGAATTAAGCCATTCAGAGTCTCTTCTAGATTATTCATAGCCTATGCCTAGGCTGTACTATCTGACTGTTCTCAAATAGGTAAGCTTGATTCCCCTGACAAGTCAAAAGGTCACCCAGCTTGAGTTCATGCTGCATCTGTGGCTTCCTTTAGAAATGTCCCCATAGCCGAAATCTGTAGGGCTATCACCTGGGGTTCAATTCACATGTTCAAAAAACACTATGCTATTGGGGAGGTATCCCGAGCAGATGTTTGCTTTGGCAGAGTGGTCCTTCAGTCATTATTTGGTTAAGACTCTGATTACCCATCTCCTCACACAGGGTTGCTGTACAAGTCTCAAGAATGGAATACATGTAGACAGTCGCTTGAAGAAGGAAAGACCATTATTTAACTTACAATAACTGGTGTATTTTGAGATGTGTTTTTATGTGTATTCCATGACCTGTTGGCCTTCCTTGCTATTTCGGAGTATCCATTATCATTTGAGTTCTGGTTGGCTAAGGAGCTGAGGCAGTTGGCCCCACACCATCCTTTTATACCTTCATGAGTGGGGAGCATGAGAACAGCTGGGGCATGGGCCAGTTGGCACTGCTGGCCAAAAGGTTCCAGTCTCTGATGAATGGGGCATGTGTGAACCCAAGATTGGACTATGTATAGATAACACATCTCAAACACTATTTATTGTAAGGTGAGTAACAGCCTCTTTTGTATGGAAGGTCCTATTGGGAATGAGAGTGGGTCTTTTAAAACATTTATTTTCTTTGTAGAAGGGCATTGAGACAGCTTTGCTCTATTACAGTGAAGTTGGTTGAGTGTTGACTTAACTGTGGGATAACCAGCAGCAGCCATTGCAGGGCAGAACTTTTAAAATGGTAGCGGCTGAGGTGAACAATAAATAAAAATACAAGACAAATGTAAATTTTTATAGTGGTGAAAACTAGTAAATAGTAGCAATAATAAGCAATTAATATTTAGTAATTTTTCTGCATGGAGCTCACTGAAGGTAGTGTTGGTAAGATCACAGATACATCAACGCCTTCTAACAAGCTCATTTTAAGACTGTTCTGGTATCAAAGGGGATGATCGAAGAATAAGGGAAGAAATCACTTTCACTGCTAAGTACAGCAAATAGGTTCTCAACTTTTCCATCCTCTGCAGATTGAGTTGCATTCCTAAGGAATGGGAAGCGCAGACCACTTGCTTCACAGTTGCTAAACAGCTAGCATAGTTTTTGTGCCTTTTTGACAATAAAATTTCTACAATTGAGATTAGATCTGTGAATTGTCTGATACATTTGTCAGATTAATTGCCTCAAACAAAACAGTTGAGAGATCTGGGTTAACTGGGTCTGTGGAAAACTGTTGGTTCTCATAGAGTGCTCACCGTTAAGGGACAAGTAGATTTGTTTTCTGATAAGATTTGGATTTTATCATATCAGTGTGCATGCTTATTATTGAGAGTGAATTCACTGTTTTGTGAAATTGAGCAACCTGAGAATGCTGTCTAGAGCCAGACATAATACAAGCAGGCCTGTGTCTTTTTCTCCCTCAGTTATGATTATCCTCTGGTGAATTTGCGCATATTCAGAACTGTTCAGGACACCTGGTCACATTATTACAGTTTTATCTGAGTATCCCTTGATAGTAACCCTTTTCAACTTTTTAGGAGGAAACAAATTGCTTGCCTTCACATAAATGTCTTTGTTCAACCCCATAGTCTTTGTTGTAGGCGTTTAAAGGTAGGACCATAGGTCCCATTTTTCATTTCCAAAGAAAGGGAAAACAAACGTGAACACTGAGCTTTGGGGATGCCAGATTTGTTGTGGCATTTCCAAACCACATTCTCTGAAATCCTGGGATTCTGAGAGAATGGCTTAAGGATCCGTTTGAGAGTGAAAATGAAAGATCTGTTGATGTACATGCTACAGTGCTTCTAGTCCAAGGATCAAACATTCTTTAAACAACTGTTCATTGCCAATCTAGGAATGCCCGTCTTACTTTTCGGAAAGTAGAACAGCTAAGCTGTCACATTTAAATGATCCAAGCCTGCACTTGGTCAGTCGAGCAGAGGGATATGGTGGCACTGTGACATCAGATCTGACTTTGCTGTGCAAAAGCAGTACCGAAGTCAAGGAGAAATGCCTGAAAATGGAGTTAGTAAACTGGTAAATATGATTTGGATGCAAGATTTTCTATCTTGAAAAGAAAGCCAGTCACTTAAAACTTTGTTAAAAGGCAGGTTCTGTTGATCAAAAGTGGTTAAGGACATACAGTTCTCTGGAAAGAGAAGGAATAACAGTGAAAATAAGATGACTTAATTTCATGTGCAAAGGTTTCTTTTTTTCCTTTATCTCTTTACAAAAACTATTATTGGTTAGATGAACACATAGAACATGCTGAAATGTTTTTCAGGTAGTGTGTTGTCATTTAACATTTGAACATGTTTCCTGCATTCTCTGAAACCGTACTGTTTGTGTCACATTGTTCACTCTCATACAAGTCTCTTATAATTCTTTTTGCGGATATAGACTAACACGGCTGCTACTCTGAAAACTGACATTCTGGACATAAGAGCTATCTGCAGCTTGTCTAAAGAGCCTTTTCCAGTGTTAAGAAACTGGCGCACTGACAATAAGAGGATTTCCTACGCAGTATAAAATTACAATTTAGGCTGAGTAATTCTGTTCAAGGACAAATGCCGAAAACTTTGCAAGTTTTGTTAAACAAATACATATATTTTAAATGAGAATGATTTTGTTACATATATATCTGAGCTCTTTGAACTTGTATCTAATTTTGGCATTAGTGTGGTCAAACATCAGATTAATGTAAGTTTTTAAATTCTAGCTCTTTAGTAGGTGAGATAAATACCTTGTGGTTTCACATAATTTATTGATATAAACTTGCATGTGGTCACTGTGATTACAAAGCTGACTTTCTATCATTTGTCAAGCAGAATTGGCAAACTGTCATCTTCAATCTTACTCTTCATAGTTAAACTTATTCATGAGCTGGTGTCAGTTTTCCTTTCACACTGTTTGGAATGGAAGCTGTTCTCAGTGATGTCTGAAATTAAGCACAATTGAATGAAATGAATGTTGTTTTTTAAAGTATCTCTCCAAGTTGCAATCATCCTTTTTTTCTTATTTCTTTAGTTACAATTACAGAAAACACAGTATTTGCAGTTGGGACAGAGTCGTGGCCAGTACTATGGAGGGTCACTGCCAAATGTGAATCAGATTGGGAACAGTGCCATGGACTTGCCTTTCCAGGTGAGCTTCAGCTGCTGTTTATACATTTTAAATCAGAGCTGTGACTTTCTTCAGCTGGAGACTGTACAATAAAGGCTGATAACAGGCCCAGAGCACAGAATCGTAACCTCTGCAGATCAGCGTAACTGTATTAAGATTTGTCAGTCCTAAAGAATGTAATTTTAAAGTAGAAAAAGCGCATAGTGCTTTGTGGAAAAATATGTTACCAAGAAGTTGATTGATACAGTTCTGCTGCGCTCTGGTTGTGGACATCTTTCACAGTTGGTGCTACATAAGTGCATGCTGCCAAACAGTAACTTTGCTTTATTAATGATTATAGTGCCCATGTGCATCTGCATGGTACTGTTCAGAGGCAAGGGCCTTCGTTTTCAGTTTTTATTTGTTTAAAATTTCCTGGGAATTTATTGGTGCTTATTACAAAAATAAAAAAAACTGTAAAAACCAGTTCAAAAAATTGACTTCACAGTTTCTTGGGTAAATATTGGGGGGGTAGGAGGAAAGGAAAAAAGCAACAAATAAAGACAAGTAAGTGTATTGAAAGTATAAGCAGTTTAATGCTGTGGTTTATTTCATGGACTGTACATCAACAGTACATACACACACATATGCATGCGCATGCATATATCTGCCACGACATCGCCTTACTTTAAAAGACAGCCTTGCCTCTAGACATAAACTAAAGCACATCTACTTAATGTACTGGGGGGAGGGATAGCTCAGTGGTTTGAGCATTGGCCTGCTAAATCTAGGGTTGTGAGATCAATCTTGGAGAGGGCCATTTAGGAATCTGGGGCAAAAGTTGGGGATTGGCCCTACTTTGAGCAGGGGGTTGGACTAGATGACCTCCTGAGGTCCCTTCCCACCCTGATATTCTATGATTTTGTGATTGTTAGATTTTCTTAACATGAGTGTTTTTACATACTTGAGTGGTCTATAATTTGGTCAAAATTGGTAAAAACCATGTAATAGCTTTTGTAAAAGTTTTTAGTAAAAAACCAAAAACAAAGGGCCTTATTCACAGTGTGACCAGTATTGGACTTATGATGGGACCCGTTCCCAAAGGGGTGACAGTCTAAAGGCGCAAGTGGAAACGCACTGGACAAAATAATTCCAGCCACAGAATAAGATGGGGGTGGGAGGTGAGTCTATTATAGCGTGAATATTTTGTGGAATTGGGTGCATATTCTTGGCACCTTTTTTGGGGGGGTAAAATGCTTTAATCAAATGTCCTGTGGCTAAACGTTAGCTTCAGAGTAGGCTCCATTCTTCAGTATGGCTATTACTGAGGTTTTGTTATACTCTGGCTAATTTTTGAAATGACTCCTTTATCTAGATTAGTTTCTCATGATGCCTGAAACTGGTGGCTTGTTTCATTTCATTATTTGTGGTTTATATACTAAATCTGCTTAGCTTGCTCCTGTATTAAAAGACATTGTCAGAACAATCCTAGTTATGCATTTTTTTGCCCATGTTACTGATTAATATCCCATATTACTAAAATGGAAAACTTTTAAAATCTCATTTAATTTTCTCTGTTTAGGTTGCTTGTGTTCTGTGTATTTAAAAGTTTTACATAATGTCAGTTGCTACAGTTTCTAAGTGCTCTGCTCCTGTCTTTCCTAGACTAGGGTAATAATTTCCCAACTCCAAGGAACAAAAACTCTTCCATCCTCCCCAGAACCAATCCTCTCCCCTCTTTTCACCCCTCGAGCTCAAGCTCTGCAGAATTCCTTCCCAGGGTCTTCTCCATGCAGGCCCAGCTAAATTCCCTCTAAGCCGCTCAGCTGCTTATTAAGCCCCGCGCAGGGGCTCAGTGCTGTGGTGGGGAGGGGCACCCCTCCCCGCCAGCTCCACCACAGACCTGCCCCGGACTTGCCATGGCCAGCCGGGGAGAGGAGCCTCTCCCTCGGCCTAGCCCAGCCCCGCCAGAGCTGCCAGGGCTGGGGGAGAGGCGCCTCTCCCCTGGCCCCGAGCTGCTGCTGCAAGAGAGGGCTGGGGAGGAGTCCTCTCTCCCCACCACAGCCCCGGGGCAGCCTGCACTCCTCTCATCCCCAGTGGTGTAATGGCAAGATGGCTCTGTGGTTTGGCAGACGGACAATACGCTGTATTTGCAGGACCTGAATGAAGGAGCAAATTTAGGATTTTCCAAACAGATGGCGCAAAGGGATTCAGCAAAGCTGTTACGGTTGGCAAGGAGTTGAGAAGTGCCCAGTTTTTCCCACGTGGTTCACGGACAGCCCTTGATGTACGAGTGGAGGCTGAGCATTCTGTTCTCCCACTTATGCAGCTTTGTACTGTGATAATGTAGAGGATTTTGAGTGAGATTGCTTGGAAGTCTTGTCTGCAGCAGCTTCGGGTTCTGGGAAACCTGTTGCCAAATAGTAAAAGTTCTAGTGGCATATACATTGTTCTAATGCATAAGATCCATAGAGTGGAGTTGACCGGACTAGTTGTCTTCCCAGTCTAAATGAAACTTTTAGAAAGTAAATTCAATTTTAAAATGTTTGTTGCTTTAATCATCTTTGTTAGCAACATGAGAAGGAAATTTCTTGTTTTGATATTTTTATTTTGTCAGTGTCTCTTAATATAATTATGATGCTGATGAGAGGGGGTGAGAAAAAAATGCCTTGAGAGAGACATTTCCTACAGAGCATCAAGTGAATGTTAGGAATCTGAAATTAGAATTCAGTGTACTCGATGAATCCCCTTCCTGCATCTTTTGCCTTCATGGTTAAGTTTAAGCTCCATTTGTCAGCATGTTCCTTCTGGATGCATGCTGCATGATACACCAGGAGTAACTTGTGCACTAGTTAGCAGTAGGTTCATAGATTACTCTACTCATTTCTATCATTCCTGGTGTTTCAAAGATGGGGTAGGACTTAAAGGCTGGAAAAATAGTGCAAATTTAGGAAATCTGTTGCCGTCTGCCTCCCCCTATTACTAAACTCTCTTTTGGGAGGTAGTTTCCAGTGCTTCTCCATTCCAGATATAGTGTGATCTGTCTAGTATATGAAAATTACATTTAAGGAAAAAGTTACATTGTCCAAATGATGATTGGCTGGTGTACCCGTAGCTGTTAGGTTTATTTTTAGTGCATACAGAATCAGGCCTAGCTGTGGATATATTGATTCTGTCCGGGTGGTTTCTGCATGTATTTTTTGGTTGATAACTTTTTATCTCCCTTAGACTCCTTTTCAGTCATCTGGACTGGATACAAGTAGGACAACTCGGCATCATGGTCTGGTGGACAGAGTGTATCGTGACAGAAACCGCCTTGGGTCACCACACCGGCGTCCGCTGTCTGTGGATAAACACGGAAGGCAGATATCCTTTGATTTATGGTGTGGCATTAAAATGTTGCCTTCGTCAGCACTGTTCGTATTTAAAGTTTGTTTTACAAATTGTTTTAAATAAACGAATAGATAAACCCCAAGCATTGTAGAGCGCGAGTGTGGATTATAATGGGGGACTCCTGAGTTCCATTCTGGTTTTGCCACTGATTCATTTTGTGACTTTGGGCATAAGAACATGCCGACTCAGATTAGAAATCCACCCAGTCTCACATCCTGTCTCTGACAGTGAATCGTGTCAAAGGAAGGTGCAAAAAACCCCATAATGGACCAACTGTCTTGCTTGCAGGGGACGTTTCTTCTGAACTCTGGACAGTTAATATCTCCTGTTCTGAAGCATTAATCTTTCACAAATCCTAATACTTTGCTTCTCTGTATCTCAGATTCCCCAGCTGTAAAGAGGGGACAATAATACATACTTAGTTCCCAGAGCTGTTGAGAGGCTTAGGTAGTGCCTTGAGATCCTTTTGTGAAAAATACAACAGAAGTACAAAATGGCAGTGTTGGTGGGTCTGACTCCTCTTTCAAAACTGAGCAGAACCAGGACTGAATTTTTTGCAGGTGATTTCTTTCCATTTCTATTACAAGCTGACTCATATGAGTTCAGCATCTGCCAAGCACTATTTCTTGGTGACTTTCATAAAACAGAATTAGTTTATTGCTGTTGACTAGCTTTAAAAGTGCCAGTGTGAGAGTGGTTATTGGAAATGAGGGTGATCCTCCTGTTACTCAAAAGTGACAACTGCTGGCCAGCTGAGTGGCATTATGTGATCTCTCTCTTTAGAGGAAAGTTGTGATACAACCTATATACACGGAGGGAGCAGTATTAGTGTGTGTATGATGGGAGGAGAGATGTGTAGTTGGAATAAACTGTATCTGAAGCTATAGGTTGAATTGCGTGCTCCTAGCAAGGTGCCATATTTCATGACCCACCCCGACTTGTCTGAGACGACTTCAGCCTGTGTGTGTGTGTGTGTGTGTGTTGGTGGATAGCAGGGAGAGGGGATCATTTTGACAATAGTGTGTGTGGCTAGGGAAAATGTAGGATTATACGGGAGGAGGTCAAGAAAAACGTTTGAGAAGAAGGTGGAGAGTGATTACCCCTTCATTTGACTGTTGAGAATGACTCCCTGTATACCATTCCACCCCAGTAGGTATAAGCATTTTTTGTTTATGTATTGTCAGGCTTGAATTTTTAAGTAGGAACACCCTTTCCTACAGCACCTACAAAGCCACCATTAACATGCATATTTTGTTTGAAATGTCATGCCAAAATCAGCATTTCCTCCACAAAGAAATGCTCTTTGCTTTTCTCACTAGAGTGTATTGGCTCTGACAAAGTAACTTAAATTATTCCTTGTTCAAAGCTTTCAAATGGGCCTGTTATTTAAACAAGAGGCTCCTGGTTTTCTCCCCCTTAACTAATTGAATCACGTGGACAGTTGTCCATATGGCACTGTGTATCTGTCGCCTCCATCGGATACAAGCTGGAGAAGGTTAGTGGCATAATTCCATGTGCATTGGTATTTGGTCCAAAGACTTAGATCCTGTGACAACCCTTAGAAGTGCAAGAAACATTTGTTTTTCCCTGTGGCAATTTACAGTACTTAGGGTAATCTGGATTGCCATGTGTGGTTTTTTTTTTTTAAACTGAATCTAGAACTTAATGTTTTTTCAACTCTGTATGGATTCTTTTAAGAGATTGTTTTTTAAACTTAAAGTATGCCAGTGCATAATTAGATTTTGAGATATAAAGTTTCCCAGGTTTACGCCTGTAGAGGGGTAAGATGCTCAGAATTACTGAGTTAGAAAATCATAGGTTTTTACCACTACATTAGAAGTGGGGCTGGTCTTTCTTCACAAGCAATCAGTGAGCAAAGAATGTGTAGTCATTTGTCCCCACCGTCATGCCCCTTGCACCACAGTTGGGAACAAGGAGTGCCTATGTGGTATGCTGTGTTTACCAGTTTGAGGACACATCATCATGCAAGAGTGGCAGAGTAGAGGACTGGGATCCTGGGACTCCCACAGTTTAATTCTGGCTCTATAACAGGCTACTTTTATGTTCCTTGGCAAGTCAGTTTCCCTTTCTGTAAAATGTGGGTGATATCTTCCTCGCAGAGATGCTGTGACGCTTAAGCAATGTTTATAAATTGCTCTCAACTCCAAAAGTGCTGCTGCTTACTCTGAGACCATACGCTGCCCCAGTGGTACCAGCGAGAGCACACCCCAGATAGTTTTCTATCTGTAGCGGTTCGTTTGTTCGTCTTTGATGTTCCTCCTAAACTCCGTTGTTTTGTTGAAACAGTTACTCTATAAACGTGTAATAAATTCAGTTCTGTAAAGTTATCTGATCGTTTCATCAAGAAATCTTGCCCAGCATAATCCCAGTGTAATATTTTACAATTACAAAGTGGTATTTCAGGTTTATTTTAATTTGCTGAATTTCCCATGTGACTAAGGGGATTGTTATCCTCATAAGCATCCTTAGTTTAAAAAGCTGACAGGTTTCTTTGCTTTCTTGCCAGGACCAATTCAGATTCTGCCTTGCATCAAAGTACAATGACCCCAGCTCAACAAGAGTCCTTTTCAGGAGGGTCACAAGACATGCAGCAAAAAAGAGGTAAACTCTGTGGGGGAGAAGGGTGGGAAATGGAAAATCCATTTCAGAACTTGATATCATTAAAAAATTGTTTTTCCCGTATAAGTGGGACTGCAGGAATTATCAAAATGTGGTTGGTGCCGGAGAAAAGTGCCTCAATGACAGTTCTGGAGACTGAAATCCAAAAGAAGTAGAGCATTATCAGCGATAGAGCAGGCTTCTCATACTCTATCCTGGCATTTTACTTCAGCCTTGTTTGGCATGGCCCATCTTCAAGAGTGAGAAGGTAGTTTAGATTTCCTGGACCAGCCAGTCCATGATTTGTATGCTGGCACTACTTTCGGGGCTTCCAACTAGCTCCAGTTTGTAGTGATGGTTTGCATTATGGACATGTTTTAGAACTGGGACTGAGATCCCTATGTTGTTTAACATTGAGCAATCATTTGGTGGCAACAAGTTTTTGGGTACCAGAGGTCACAGTGAGAGCTCTTTTCACAAAGAGAATGTGTTCCAGACGATTTTAACCAAGATTTAATACCCCGTGGTATCAGTAGTACTGGTAACTGTTGGGGAAAATTGCTGTAATTGACAAGGTTTATTTTGGGCATTTCATTTAGTTTGTTACTTGTTGATTGATGAATTCTGGCTTGTGACAAACATTCCAAGTTGGCAGTCTCATAAAATATTAAAGCAAGTGGCAAACAAAATCAAATTATTTAAATTAATTCTGGCTTCAGAATCTTAGGACTGCTACATTTCCTTTCCAGTAAATTAATCCAACAGATTTCAAGGGCTTTCCTCCAGTGACCAACCTTACCTCAAAATATAAAACTTCCAGTGTTCAGATTGAAAAACACATGACTGTTAACACTTATTGTTCAATGTGCAAGCTCTTAACTCTAAATATTACCTAGGTTCAGATAGTCTGATTCTCCCCTTGGGCAGGTGTTGGGGATCATGACAATAGTAAAACTACCTGGGCCTTTTGTTAAATATTTAGGGGTGGCTTTGGTAACTTTCGCTTTCCATTTTTTAAATTAGCCATTGTAAGCTACTTTTTCAAAATTTGTCAAATAGCTATGATGGAAACCTGATTCAAATATGGCACCATAGAGGGATCTTCTCCAGTTCTTATGGGTAGCAAATAATCAATGTCTTATACCTCAGTACCAATGTTTAGAAATATAGGTTGGTGTTTTTAATGTCACTACTGACAGGTAGCAATAACCATTAAACACCACTACTGATTTTTGGTGCCCTCTACTGGTTTTTGCTTCTATTACCAGTTCCAAAATATATTGGAGGCCCTTTAATCTATGCAATGAGATTTACAGATGCATCTAAAATGACTTTGTTTTAGTCCTTGAAGAAATAGACAGTAATACTGATATATAACAGTCAAGTACACACATTCTCCATTGTAACTTCTATTATGTACTCTTTACACCACGATATAAATGACCTTTTACAAAGTACTACAAATTTATACAGTGCTTTTCAAACGTAGGCTCTGGTCCTGCAATCAGATGCATGCACGTGGGCCTTTGTGCCTGCATGGAACCCAAATGGGTTGTAAAGTCTGCATGTATGCATTTATTGGATTGGGGCCATAATGTAATATGTCATAGCCTAGAAAGGTTTCTGCAGATGGGAATCTGCTTTGTATGGATGTTCTGTCTATGTCACTATGCAGTCTTGCTGCTTGCATGATGAAATTGTTTCCAACTTTGAACCCATAAACGTCCTGGACCACAGAAATAGTATAAATTCAGTTTCTCCTATCCCAGTGGAAATGTCTAGTTTTTGCCCCATTGGGGCAACATTGGTAACTCACTAGAAGCATTTAAGTCTTGCATATCACGGACTTAAAATAGAGCAGATAAAAAAATGGGACCACCTCAAAGGGGAAACTACAGGTCCCAGCATGCAGTGCTCCATCTAGATTTGAGCAGTCTAAATCAGATTTGGAGTAAAATTTTCAAAGGTATATAAGGGTATGTCTTCACTGCAGAGTTAACCTGGGCTCTTACTTGGGTCTTGCCCCTAACACCCCTCTCCCCTCCACATACAACAACTCGCTCGCCCAGGTTTGATGCTTTTAAACTCTTGGCTAGCTGGCCCAACTGGGGTTATAGAGCCTGGGTACAGCTTTCACTCAGGCTGGTAACCTGCCCTCTGTACAGTAAGGACAAGAGCTAAATCATTTGAGTGCTGATAGTCTTCTAGTACCTTCCCAAAGGTCCTCCTGTGTGTCAAGAAGGTCACATAAGCTCTTTCTCAATTAATTGAGAAAGAATCACAGGAAGAAAAAACCCACTATGTGGCCACAGCTGGGGAAGGTCAGCTGACTCAAGGTCTTGGGGCTCCACCTGCAAGATTGGAGGGTCGCCAAGCTCGGGCCCCAGCCTGTTGCCTGAATGTCTACACAGCAATTTTTCAGACCTGCAGCCTGAGCCCTGCGAGCCAGAGTCCACTGATCCAGGCCAGGCATGAGTTTTTTTTATCCCTGTGTAAACATAGCCATAGAGTGGTTCAGCTTACTGTAGCACTGAGAGCCATGGGATATGCCCCCAGAAGTCCAAATGATACACACATATATCATTTAGGCTAAGTCATTTACATGCTTTTGAAAGTTTTTTGTGCTAGATGGAAAAACAAATAGCTTTTTAGAAAGCTGATGAACTACACTTGGGGTGAAATACATTTTTTTAGTGATCTGGATATAGTTTTATTCTGAAATATACATCTTATTTATTAGTTGAGAATAGGAATTATTTATGGTAAAAAATTACCACATTTTTTCCTGACTGAAATATATGATTGTTTCTGCAGGATGTAGCAGATTTATAATAGGATGTGCTAACTTTTATTGTGTTTTCTAGTCTTATTATTGACTGTCCCTGGAATGGAGGAAAGCACATCTGAAACAGACAAAGCCCTTTCTAAACAAGCATGGGACACTAAAAAGGTAGAAATGCCAAATCTTTGTAAGGTTCAGATGTTCTAGTCCAGACAATGTATTTTGTAAATATATTTAGGTAAACATTTTGAATAATGTTGAATTGAAATGAACTTTGCTTGGTCAGACTTGAGTTGAAGTTCTATATTCTGCAACAAACAACCTAAAGTGAGATCAGGGAGCAGTATAGCTATCTCTCTGTGCCTATTGTTGTCAACTGTCTCGGCGGAAACTGTATTCTAAACTTGAGTCTTGGAAGACTGTTAAAGCAGAAAATGATTTTCAGCTGTCTTGCTTTAAAATTTATCTGTAAATGTTAAGTTTGCATGTAAAAACTCCATTAATAGGTTGGTCCCTTATGCAATTGCTTTTTTAAAAAAGTACCCAAGCATTTGTTTCACTTACTAAGGTTTGTCAGGAATTGACAGATTCCAGGAAATTTTAAAGTGAAGGCTGATATGTCATCCTTAGCTTGCGCTATTGCATTAACAGTGCACCAGTAAGAACAACATGAATGAAATTCAGAATTAAAACATTCTTCCATCATCTTTTCAAATGCAGAAAGCTACTTTAATGAAATAAAATGCACTCTTTCCATACTTGTATCTCTGCTTTTATTTCTACCACTCACCATCCTGCCTCTTTTTTCTCTCCTCCTTTTCTTTTTTTCTGTGAATTTGTCTAACTGGCATTTCTCAAGGCAACTTCCGCACCAAAACAATGATCAGATTTTTGTTGTTTGTAAAACAAATGGTAAATATTCAGGATTTTAGTTATTTTGCTCCTATAGAGCTGCTATTGTCTCCATGCTTTCCCCCATCAGCCTGGTTACTAGATAGATAGAAGTAGCAAAGGAAGCATTTGCTTTTGAGATCTGAATATTTTTTTAATGCTTAAATAAGTCTGGATGTTTAAGCAGGTCTGAATTATTGAATATTAATAAACTTTTTATTTAGAAAAAATATATTAAAGAACCAATAGGGAAAGGATGTTTGGTTCATGAAGTTCTTCAAAACCAAGGCTGAATTAATGATTTTCTTGAGCTGTTCTTTGTGTTAAAGTATTTTCAAAGTCTAATTGTGGCTTCTCAGCATGGCAGCTTTCTCTTTTCTTCTCTCTTTGCTACGGTCTCCCTGCTTACCTTGGGAATTGTGTGTTTTAACAGTCAGTCCCTAGCAAATGTAACCTTTCTAAAAAGGGTATGCATATTTTATAAAAAGCCATGCATTGGTTAATCAAGTGATCGTTCCCTGTATTACATGCAGATTGAGCTAATTTGGCTTTGTGATCATACAAAGTGACTGCTGCCATCATGTGGGATTTTCATATGAGAAGTCTTGAAAGTGACATTGTTGGGAGGACTGCAAGGTTCTTTTTCTGTGGATTACCACTGTAGTATTCATGTCCATAAAGTGTCTAGGAGACAAGTTTCTCTAAGCTCGTGGAACTCAGTAAGATAGAAGTAGGACTTGTATTCTGGATGTACTATTGATGCCTGAGTGTCTGGTTTATGACAGTTGGATGCAAAGTCTTACACCTCATCTGAGAGCTTTTACTTTCTAATAACTGTTATTTTAGCACAAAGATATGCTAGCAAAGGCAATAATGAATACATTTCATACTATTATGTCTTATCAGGAAGATTGCAATCCTGTTTTGGTAGAACGTACCCTGCAATTGTCCAGGCAGATTTTCAGGAAATATCAAAATGGAAATACTTGATGTAACAAACATTAGGGATCAGAGTTTATATCCTGAGCTGGGAGATATGGGGAGCAAGTACTTCTGTGTAACCCCCTTGCAGACTCATGGAGCAAGTGTTAAAGAGCTTTGCGTTTTTCTCCTCCATTGCTATGCTGTGGCGCTTTTGGAGTGTGGCACTGTGAAGTGGGAGATAAGGGCTTAGATAACCTATTAAAGTTTTATTGATATACCAGTCTTGCACTTTCCAAGTTTTTTTCTAAAGTGCTACTTGCTTTTCTGTCATTCAGTTAGCGTTTTTGTGATAGTTTGTAGATTTTCATTCATTTAATGTCGACAGCCCCGACGTATAGCGATAGGCTTAGATTTAGTAAGAAAAATGATGTGGTCGATGTTTGCTTGCTAATTTAAGCAGGTGATGTTTTACTCTTGCTCCGTCTTCATTTTGTTTAGTTTATCATTGGAACTTTGAAGCTTAGCTGGCTTAAAGTCCATGCTGAGATCAGTTTTTTTGGTGTGGCACCAAACACCCATTTTGAGCAAGAAGAGGCTTTTAAGAGCATATGAGAAACTGCTCTTCTTAGGTTTCATTTAGTAGGTTTCCTATCTTTTAAAACAAATTATTTCCTAAATGTTGTTTTCCACATTTCTTTGCCTTTCACAGTGTCTTTCTGTTCTATTTTAGACAGGGTCATTGAGGCCTAAATCATGTGAAGTTCCAGGAATCAAGTAAGTTTGGGAGTGGGGTATATGGTTTTGTAGGGATGCATGTAGAAAGTTCACTGCCTGTTCCTAAGCTTCTTGCTCCGTAAGCTCTATTGATTAAGGTTCCCTCTATACTGACAATGAAACAATGCTAACCAGATTACTTTTAAACACTGAAAACATGGTGAATGCTAACGTTCCTTGAACATGGTTTGCTTGGCCATGGTAACCCAGATGATGAAACCATTAAAAAAAATGTTCTAGATTCAGTCTCTAACTAATTATACAGAGTACATGTGATTTAAAACAGGAGATGGAGAGTCAAGAATTCTGAGTTTTATTCCCAGTTAGGCATGTTTTGTGTGAACTCGGACAAATCGTTTGACCTCTCTGTGCCTCAGATTCACAATCTGTAAAGCTGGGGGCTGAGATCTTCAAGGAGAGTTCATCACTTAGACATAGGCTTTATATGATCGTAATCACCATGAAATGCACAAAGTGTAGTTCCCTCTTCTAAATAATATGGAAACAGCTGCAACCCCACTGAAAATATTGCCATGTGACAACTGTGGGTAAACGTTAAAACTTTATAACAGTGACCACTCTAAATATTTTATTTGTATATTTTTTTACATAGCTTTGTGCATGACCGCTTCAGATAAACTTTCTTTTTGTATATCATGTGGGAAGTGTGTATGTAGACTAAAATCTCAACTGACTTTTGTTACTGTATTTTTTTTAAATTTAGCATCTTTCCATCAGCTGACCAGGAAAACACTACAACGCTGATTCCTGCTGCACATAACACAGGTGGCTCTCTGCCAGACCTGACAAACATCCATTTCCCTTCTCCCCTCCCAACACCACTAGATCCTGAGGAATCCACGTTCCCATCCCTGAGTAGCTCCAATAGCACCGGAAATCTTGCAGCCAACTTGACTCACTTGGGCATCAGCACTGCCAGTCAGGGTAAGAACATATCCAAAGGGCGAATTTATAGATTGTCCGTCAGTAAAAAGTCACTTTCTATCCCTCAACAGTTGTGTAGCATTGCTGAACATTACTAAACAGCTGCTGTGTTTCATCTCAAAGTTAGCGTCACTGGTGTATGCAACTCGTATAAATCATTTTGGGATAAAGAAATGTGTAAACAGTCATAATTAATTAAATCTGTTTTGCGTATCCCTTCTGTGATAGTCTTCCATCTTTCATTCTTGGCGCACATGCATTATTCTGGTTTTATTTTGTATGATTCTTCCAAGGGTGAGATGCAATGTCCGCATCTTGGCAGTAACTCGACTCATTTTCTGGAGTACCAGCCAGAGTGCACCCACGTAGGGAAACCCACTGCAGCAAATTTCTTGATTTCTTGTTTCCATTCCTTCTGTCCTCTCTTTTTGTTGTGGTGACTCTCTTGAGAGATTGTATCATTCCTTTACCTGAACCAAATGTGGACTGTTAGGCAACTGAATTAGTATATAAGCCCCCTAAAATACGTTCTAGTCGGGATTGTTTGTAAGCCTGACTGTTTCATAGCACAAACTGCATTTTTGAAGAGATCCTAAATACACCTACCTTCATAAGGCTCTTAGGAATAAGCTTGCAATCATCTGGACCATGTTGTTTTAGAGTTGTATCCTGCTCGCTCTTTGTTTTGTTGTGGCCTTGGATTGTAAGCTCTTTTTAGGGCAAGGACTCTTGTGTTTGTACACCTCTTAGCACAATAGACCTTGATGCTGGTTGGAGTCTCAGGGCTTGCTTCAATACAAATACATAATTAAAAATCCCATTATCAGCCGTGCTAGAAAAATGTCAGTAGACCAGCACAACTACTGTATTTTCAGGACCAGTAGCCTTTTCCAGGCAAATAGCCTGAGGCAGTGATCAAAAAGAATCAATCTCTGACTTGGGTTATTTTATTTTATTTTGAAATAACTCATGTTGCCTGAGCAAGCAGGTGCCTTATATCACTGACAACACCATTAGCAAAGAAATGGCATTTTATAAAGCACCAGGCCAGAGGGCCACTGAATGAGTGCTGCGAGCATTCATTTCCTTATACAAGTTGTCTTGGTTATACTGCACTCTTCCTTCCGTCCCTTTCTTGTGTAGCTTGCCTCTGTTGCTGTGCCCTATTACTTTGTATCCACAGTACATCATGGGCTGCAAAAGAAGCAAAGAAATGGGAAAGATAACGGGAAGGGAGAGAGACTGACAACAGAATAAGAGATGAAGGCCAGAAGGGAGGAGAAGAAAGAAGGTGGTGCTGGGGCATGTGGCGTAGGAGTTGGGATAAACATTCTTCGTATATGGTAGCCATCAGTGATAAGCACAGAACTTGGCTCTTCAGGTTGCTGCAGACCATGACTGGGCATTGTAACAGAAAAACCTGCAGAACAGACGCCTGTTAATTCAGACTGCTTAGATCAAAAGACCTTGAAGTTATCGGATCTGAGTACCCCTTGGAAGAGGGTTTCTAAATGTTACTTACCATAAAGGCGCTCTCTTTTTCTTCTGAGGTTATACTTATCAGAGGAATAGATGTGAGTGGGGTTAATAGTTTGTCTGACCATCAAGTAATGACAGGCAACTTTTGTTTGCTAGTCATAAAATGGAGTCATACCGTTGTATCTGGCAAGAGAAGTGTACTTTCTTTGGCAAAGCACCCTTGCAAGCTTTTCTTGAAAGTACTCACTGCATAGCATCCTGAGAAACTCTAATGATTCAAATAAGGTGGACACATAACCAGTGACAATAATTTAAAGAATGTCACAAGAATACTGTTAAAAATATTTTTATTCACAGAAGTGCTGAACAGTCCTTAATTAGTTTAATCCCCTTATTTTTAGTTACAATTGTCCAAATGAAAATATAAAACACGCTTTTTTAATCAAGCCTTTCCCAGGAGCTATTTCCCATTGTATATGTCGAGATATGCTTTTCTGAACACTTGCCCTTGTGCTTTGGAGGAGGTGTAAGGGGAGAGAATGCACCTTTTTGGATTTCTTATTAGAGCTCGTTGGAAATATTTACACAAAACATTTTCATCAGAACTTGATGATTCATCAAAATCTAAGCATTTTGCGGAGCTTTGTTGATATCAGTGAAATTCTGCTGGAAACTTCCTACCAGCTCACCTGCCCAGCTCCTCAGCAGTCCGGGCTTGCAGGCTTTTCAACAGCCCTCCTAGGAGCTGACCAGGTGTTGGGAGCCCAGGGATTTGGGGTTCTCACATGTCAAGCAGCCCAGCCTTCCAGTGTCTCTGGCTCCAGGACAACCCACCAGGCTGACTGCTTTAGGGTTGAGACTCCCAGTAGAACTGGGCAGAGAACAGTAATTTTGTTTCATGGAGGATTTTAAAATGTTTGATTTGTTTCAAATGGCTATGAAACCAAATTTCTAAATTCTCAGTGAAATGGAATTGCCATTCTCTGCCCAGCTCTGTTTCTCATGGCTTTCTTGCAATTTACTCTTTGGTGCTTAGATACCAGATAGGTACCTTAGAAATTCCTGATACGTATAGTTATAACGAATCTCCTTAAACAATTCCTCTCCTCTCCTCTCCTCTCCTCCCTCCTTGGTGTTTTTTGCACCAATTAGATTTTTTCATAAATTCCAAAGCCAGAAGGAACCACTGTGATCATCTAGTCTGACCTCTTGCATAACACAGTCCAGAGAGCTTCCCCAAAATAGTTTCTAGCGCAGATCTTTTAGAAAATCTTCCAATCTTGATTTAAAAATTGGATATTAAAAATATTAGTAACTGTTATCATGTTGCATGCCTTCTTTCCACTCCAGTCCTTCAACACACCCAGACCATTGTTTAAAAAGTGGTCTGTGTTTAATTATTTTAGTCAATTGCTTGTAAGTCAGTTTCTCCAGGTGCTTATTTTTGCTGCTCTTCTAAGGCCTGGTCTGCACTACGAGTTGAGGTCGAATTTAGCAGCATTATCTCGATTTAACCCTGCACCCGTCCACACGACAAAGCCCTTTTTTTTGACTTAAAGGGCTCTTAAAATCGATTTCTTTACTCCACCCCCGACGAGGGGATTAGTGCTGAAGTCGGCCTTGCTGGGTTGAATTTGGGGTACCATGGCCGCAATTTGACAGTATTGGCCTCCAGGAGCTATCCCAGCATGCTCAGTTGTGACCGTTCTGGACAGCGCTCTCAACTCAGATGCACTAGCTAGGTATACAGGAAAAGGCCTGCGAACTTTTGAATTTCATTTCCTGTTTGGCCAGCATGGCGATCTCACCTGCACAGGTCACCATGCAGACAGAGCTCATCATCACAGAAGACCATGAAGACACAGAATCGCTGAAGAGCTCCAGCATGGACTGAACGGGAAGTATGGGATCTGATCTCTGTACGGGGAGACAAATCCCTGCTGGCTGAACTCTGTTCGAAAAGACGAAATGCCAAAATATTTGAAAACATCTACAATGGCATGAAGGACAGAGGCTATAACAGGGTCCCGCAGCAGTGCTGCTTGAAAATTAAGGTGGTCAGGCAAAGCTACCCAAAAAACAGAGAGACAAACAGCCGCTCCGGTTCAGAGCCCCAGACATGCCACTTCTGTGATGAGCTACACGCCATTCTAGGGGGTGCAGCCACCACTACCCCAACCCTGTGCTTTGACTCCATCCAAGGAGTGGGAGGCAACACGGAAGCGGGTTTTGGGGGCGAGGAAGATAGCTCACAGCAAGGAAGCGGAGAAACCGGTTTCCCCAACAGCCAGGATCTGTTTATCACCCTGGACCTGGACCCAGTACCCCCTGAACCAACCCAAGGCAGGCTCCCGGACCCTGAAGGCGGAGAAGGGACCTCTGGTGAGTGTACCTTTGTAAATATTATACATGGTTTAAAAGCAAGCGTGTTTAATGATTAATTTGCCCTGGCATTTGCAGCCAGTACAGCTACTGGAAAAGTCTGTTAACATGTCTGGGGATGGAGTGGAAATCCTCCAGGGACATCTCCATAAAGCTCTCCTGAATGTACTCCCAAAGCCTTTGCAAAAGGTTTCTGGGGAGGGCAGCCTTATTCCGTCCTCCATGGTAGGACACTTTACCACGCCAGGGGAGTAGCACGTAGTCAGGAATCATTGCAGCGTATGGTCCCGGTGTTTGCTGGCATTCAAACAACATCTGTTCTTTATCTCTGTGTTATCCTCAGGAGAGTGATATCATTCATGGTCACCTGGTTGAAATAGGGTGGTTTTAGTAAGCGGACATTCAGAGGTGCCCGTAACTGCTGGGCTGCTTGCCTGTGGCTGAACAGAAATCTTCCCTGCTGTTAGCCACGCGGTGGGGGGTGGGGTGAAGCCATCATCCCAGAGAATTGGGTGTGTGGGGAGGAAGGGTTAGTTGGGTTTCTGCTGCATGTGAACCCGGAAACCGCAGCCGCTCCTTTTAAATTGCCAACCCGTTTTTAGTGGCTAACCCAACGGCTACTTCGTATGGGAAATGAGGGTGCTGCTGTTTGAAATCATTCCCACATGTTATGAAAGTTAAAGAAGCCAAAATACTGTGCCTTACCATGGCTGCCTGCAAGCCGAATTCGGCTGCCCGGCCCTGCATGAGTGATCTCTCACACCAAACCAGCATACCCTCAATAAGAGGCAAAATACGACCTTGTAATGAAAGCACATGTGCTGTGTAATGTTAACAGCAAGGTTTACTGTGAAAGAGTGTACCCATTGTTCTATAAAATGTGTCTTTTTAACTACCACTCTCCCTTTTTTTCCCCTCCACCAGCTGCATATGTTTCTCCTTCCCAGAGGTGAGCGAAGATTAGAAGGCGAAAAAACCACACTCATGATGAAATGTTCTCTGACCTCATGCTGTCCTCCCACACTGACAAAGCACAGCAAAATACTTGGAGGCAGACAATCTGAGTGCAGGAAAGCACAATATGACCGCGAGGAGAGGTGGCGGGCTGAAGATGGTAGGTGGCATCAGCTTGCTGAAAG